CTACCAAGATCTCTTCAAAGGAGTCACTCCTCAGGCTGACTTCTCCCGCGCGTATATTTCTGTTCCCAAACCTGACAAAGACCACTCTATCCTAGATAATTATCGTCCTATTGCTCTACTTAACTTTTGATTACAATATCTTCACTAAGATTCTGCCCAATAGGATGTCCAGGCTTATCTCCAAACTCATACAGAGATCAAGTAGGTTTTGTTCCTGCCAGACATGTTGCGGATAATACCAGGAGATCTATTGACCTGGTTAACCGGTCCTCTACCACTACCATTTTATTGAATTTAGATGCTCAGAAAGCCTTTGACCACCTTAGCTGGCCCTACATGTTTATGGTCTTGGAGAAGTTTGGCTTCTGAGGCTCGTTTGTGGCAGCTTTGAAAGCTCTTTACTCTCCCCCTTTCTCACGAGTCAGATTAGCCTTCTTTCTTTCACCCTCTTTCCACATGTCGAATGGTACGCGACAGGGATGTCCGCTCTCCCCTTTATTCTCTGTCTGGAGCCGCTAGCTATCGCATTACGGTCTAACCCCGAAATACAAGGGATATTTTCTCATGGCTGTGAGTACAAACTATCCCTGTTTGCAGATGATATCCTCCTCACACTCTTGAACCCTCGAATCTTTACCAGTATTACATAAAATTTTACGCTAATTCGGGGCCCTCTCAGGTTACAAAGTTAATACGTCCAAAACTGAAGCACTCCCTCTTTACATCCCACCAATTGTTCTTTCATCTCTCCAAGAGTCCTTTCCTTACCGATGGTGCACTCACTCTTTAAAATATTTGGGTACTAACCTCACTTCCTCCTACCGTTCTATATATGGCGGTAATTTTCCCCCCTTATTTATAGCTATTTCCCGCTCCTTAAAATTCTGGGATACCCTACCCATTTCCTTCCTGGAACGCATCAATGTAATAAAAATGACTGTGCTACCCAAACTCCTGTACTTATTTGCGACCCTTCCCATTCCCGTTCCTATGTCCAAACTACACTCCCTCCAGAAATCCCTTCTACATTTCATTTGGCATAATAAATGACATATAATCGCACGTAGTGTACTACTCTCTCTGAGTTCTAGGGGGGGCCTAGGGGCACCGGATATAGTGACCTATTATGCTACTCACCTCCGTTTTCTTACGTCATGGTCCACCCACTACCCCCCCAACATGTGGACTGAGATTGAATCTTTGCAATTGACTGCGACCCATCTGTGCTCCCTCCTTTGGTCGACCTCGGCGGTGGATGTTGCCTCTTTTCGTTATCTCTTCCTTGGCCCCATGCAATTTTCCATGACTGGCAGAATGTGACCTCCGACTGCTCTCCACTGACCAATATCCTTTTTAATCCCAACCTCCTGGATAGTCTGGCCGTGTCCCGAGTGCTCCCTTAGGTCGCAGCCAATCTTTTCCAATTATGCCACTTGGTACACCCTGTACCTTGGAAACTGCAACCATTCCCAGACCTCCAGAAAACATTTGTGTATCTCCAGATACGCCACTTCTCTACCATGTCCCCCACATTGATCCTTGGGAAACCCACTTCCTTTGAGCGTCTATGCATGCAGGGCCCACATCAAAGGGGCATAATTTCTAACACATATAAACTCCTTATGGATGCTTCCCCCTATCTAATGTCATTCATCATTACATGCGTAAGTGGTCTCAGTTTTTACAGTGTAACATTGAGTTGACACTGGAAGCAAATTTGGGGAAACGCACCTAAATGTTCTGTTTTGCATGGTTTATAAGGAAGATGCATACAAAATTATGATGTTGTGGTACAAAACACCTGATGTACTCCATGCCTATAATCCGAATGCATCTTCTGCCTGCTGGCGCTGTAGGAGGGACTTTAGCACCCTCTACCATATTTTTTGGACATGTGGATCCATTACTCCTTTTTGGGAAGAGGTTTTGTCCTTTTTACAAATGCTATTGCACACTTCTCTCCCTTTCGAACCTCTATACTTTTTATTGAGCCTGCCATTTCCGGGTCTACCCAGAGTGGCCAGGAAACTCTCCGCATGTTCTGACTGTGGCTAGAAGAAGCATTCCTATGTTTTGGCTATCCTCTATACCTCCTTCGATGCCGACTTTGTTTAAAATTATTGCTGATGTATGACAAATGGAATACTTGACCGCTCTACATGCTTGTTCAACTGCTGTGTTTGAGGCAGTGTGGCACTCATGGGATATCTTTATCTCTTAACTTACTCAAAATGTATGATTCTAACAGCCTCCCCACTGTTATTCTGTGACCTTGTATGCTTTGTACCCATGCAGATTTCTAACATCGATGTCCTTTTTTTTTTTTTTTTTTTTTCTTTTTGTTTCTCTTTCAAATGTGATGTTTGTATATATAAATGTGAAAACCAATAAAAACTGTTAATTAAAAAAAAAAAAAGTGCATGGGCTTCCCCTTAAAAGCCATACCAGTCCCTTTAGACCTGGTTGGACTTTTACGTAGGGTTCCCCCCCTAAATTCCTACCAGACCCTTGATACGAGCACAGGACTGACAGCAAAGGGGAGGGGGAGTCACATTTGAGTGCCCAACCCCTCCCTCGGTATAAGGACAAGGGCCACCCTGATGCTGGCCCTCCCTCCCTTGTGAATGAGTAAGGGGTACTTGTATCCCTACCCATTCACTAGAGCGTTACATTTAGAAAAAATAGACACTAGACTAATGAAAAATTCCTTTAGCTAAACAAAAATGTTTGACTGAACAAAAAAGTCCTTTAAAACAAGAAAAAACGTTCCATTGATATAATCCATTGTCATTCATGGTGTCCAGCATTGTCACGATGCTGACTCTCCGGGGGAAAAAAAAAACCGACCTGTCTACACTCGCCGCAATATGACAGGTCTGACATTTGCTGGTCGGATGTAAACAATTATGCTGCAATTGGCCAAAGCATTGGCCATTTCTTTGTCCTATCCTGTCTCTCACAGTGCACTGTGGGACGCTCGGTGGGCGAAGAGCCCGCCAAACGCCCTTACCGTTTTGTGTGTTCAGCGACCACAAGAACGACCGATGTTCAAGCTGAACTTGTGTTCAACTCTTAACATCAAGCGCATACCTACCAGTGAGCGCCCCTGATCACCGCAACACCAGTTATGTGATGACACTGTAATGCACTGGTGACCGTATCTAAAATTTAAAAAAAAAATGGTTTTCACAAGGTTGTGTTTTTTTTTTAATTGTGACCGCTTCAAAAAATTCACTGTGACAATCGTGGCGTCAGACCCAGGCCTTCTCACCAAACTCGTGACCGAAGGACTAGCCAATCTAAAACCGCGCTGTCACGTGTGTAACAATGCCACGCCCAGCCGCACCCTGCCCAAAGGTTTTCCAGCTAATGGACCACAACCTGTGTGCCGGCAGCCTGGGAGCGATTGTTGCTGGGTCAGGTTAATTATGCAATTAACCCTTCACACTGCCACCACCTCCTTTTTGTACAGAGAGGAAACTTCGCAATATCAGCAATAACACCATGATGTTTGAATAATCGTCAGTATACCACTGTCACCGCAGACAGAGATATGTACCGAAGTTTAAAACACACACACACACACAGTAGCGCTTTTCAGAGGCAGGGATTCTTTAGTTTGCAATAAAGAGCTTTAGAAACAGGTCAACACTTTCAGAAAGTAAGATTTATTACTGAAAGGTCAAAAGGGTGCAATAAGAATATTTACAGAAAAAGATGTAGCCAATATATATAAATATACAGAAAACAATAGCACAGCAAAGAGATAACAGGAGTTTAGCGAGTTAAAGTACTTGCCAAATGTCCTGGTTTAAGCAGATCAGGTTTCATGAGCCAAAAGAGTTCCTTATCTCCCAACCTTATTTCCGATGTTAAAAAGGGAGAACTTCAACTTTTTTTTTTTAGTTCAGCTTAGCTTTTCTCCCTGAAACAGAGAACCAATGGCCTCGTTTGGGGAGGTAGTTGTAGGTGGAGACCCCAGGCTATGACCAAAGCCTGCACAAAATTATATTCTGGTTCATAACTTACCCTGGACACACAACTTTCTATCCACGAGTAGATTAATACGCAGAATCTTCAGGATCTTCTGCTGAATGGTTACAGAGATATCATTTTCTGCTCTCCTGTATATGCCAAATAGGGGGTGTGATGTACCAGGAGACTTGTCTTAAAGTCAGCTGTACGAATATGGGCTCCATGTTCATGTAATGTCCTATTTGAAGATATAAACTTATATGAAAAAGTGAGTTTTTAAATGTAAGTCTGTTTTCACGACTCCCTGGAATGCCTTTGAGCTCAGTGAAGGACTTGGTTTATGGCTTTACAAGCCCTTTCTAGCAAGAGTCTGGCAGACTCCTAGCTAGTGAGGTTTATAGCCATGACTCCCTCCCAATGAGTTTGCTGCCTGTGATCTTTGCGAACACACACCGATCGGAGGAGGGAGACTGGTTTGGGAGAGAGATGATACAAAAATGGAAGATTCCTAACAAGATGGGTGACCGCGTCCATCTCTGTGTGCATGATTGCTACACTCACCATGCCTTTTTACTAAATACCTTGGACTGTCTAACTTTCCAGAAAGGGGTAATTTGGGGGATATTAGTACATCACCATCCCACCTTCAGAACACACTAACACAGTGGGATTGATTCCCCCATCCACCTCAGATGTGCGGATGGAGAAATCTAGCGGTTTTTTTTTTTTTTAACCAACCAGTTGAACGAAAAAATTAATTTACGGACAGCTATCCTTCATGGGATATCTTTCAAATATTTGCATATCTGCAAAAATATGTAGCTTTTTCAACAATATTATAAAGAATTTGACAAATTACCACAGGCAGTTAACGTTTCATATGCAGTAATCAGAGGTACGCTTAACTGTGGGCCCTGCTCCAGAATTAGTAAGCAAACTAGGAAACTGATTGTAGGAGCTTTCCCCCTAAGCCTTTCACACTGCTGATTTGAGTCTTTTAATGGTTAAACCCCTTTCTATTCACAGGTGGCTTTAGAGGAAGAAATGAAGATGTAGGGGTGGAATCTGGTAAAGGTAATAAACTCTCGCCCCCTCTATCTCACCCCCTCTATCTTTATTTTTTTATGTTTGTAAATAACCTTTTTATTTTCTTAAGGTCAAGAAGGATTTGAACCTTCTGAACAAGGTAATCAATTGGTTAACCATTTCTTAAAGGTTCAGTTCGCCTTTACCAAAAACTGCCTATGCAACAAGGAACATCTGTAGATAGAAAACTGCAGCTTTGACCAATGATAATTGTCTTTGCAATAGTTGTAGGCTATGTACATACCTCTTGATGCCTGCCTGAGAACCCCCCAGTGATGGCCTCTTTTCATCCTGGCTTGCTACTAGGTTGTTGCCAAATAAGTCTAGCTGGATCAAACCACGTAACATGCACTCCTCTGTACCACTATATCTGGCCTCAGCAATACTGCGATGGAGAAGATAGCGGACCTTTCTTGTATGGGTATTTGTTCCTGTCGTGATGGGACATTCTAGCAACAAGGCATGATGGGATGATATTTCAGTGTTTTTCAGCCAGGTTTCAAGAGGTACTTTAACTTGAACGAATCCAGCTTTAGTCAAAGCTGCATTTGCCATTTTTTCTACTGGAGCTCCTATCTGCATGGGCAGGTTTCTTGGTGAAGGTGACCTAACAGATTAATGTCATAAAAAGATTTGTTATAATGCAGGCATTTATTTTTCTACTAACAGGTCCAAAGGTGACCTATATTCCACCCCCTCCACCTGAAAATGAAGTTGATATTTTTAGACATTACCAGAGTGGCATTAACTTTGACAAATATGATGACATTGTGGTTGAGGTCTCTGGAAATGATGTTCCACCAGCAATACTGGTTAGTTTTTTTTTTGTTTTTTTTTTTGTCATAATGAAGTTGTCAGTGCTGTTTAAAATTACATTTTCTGCTTTCTGCCTGCAGAGCCTAGGCAAGTGTAATGTTGAGTAATGCGAGTATGCCTGTCTGGACCCTGTGTTTCCAGAGGTTGTTGGGGGCTGTATTTTACCTTGGCTGCCATGTTAAAGATCTTTCTCCACCCCTCCCCCCTAGTATTTTTTTTTTTTTTTGGTGCCCCCTGTGGTCTGTAAAGGATTATGGCCAGGCCTCTGACCCTTTTTGTTTTGGAACTCAACATATTCTGTCTTTACTGCAGCTCTCTTCTGTTTTCTCCTCCATTCTTCTAGGAAAAGCTGTGGCCTTCTCCTGCTGCAAGTGTATGGAGACAGCCTGGCTGTTCCATTTTCTCCTGCAGCCAGTGATTTATTCTGTGTATGAGAGATTGTATAACTTCCTTGCTCAGTGGTTGTCACGCACTTTAGCCCTAGTTCATACCGATGCGATTTGAAATTTTCAAATAACTTGACAAGTCGTACCCTATTGTTTGGCAATGGAGCTGCTCAAATCAGTGTGACTTTGACGCACAGAAGTCTTATAAGTCACTGTGAACCTGGGCTCAAGCGGTTCCTATCTCTAGGGGCTTGTTTACACTTGTGTGGAGGGATGTGTGTGTGTATATGTGTATGTATGTATATGTATGTATGTGTGTGTATATATATATATATATATATATATGCCTTGTTATGAAACATAAATGTATTTTATTGGGAGTTTGTGATAGACCAACACAAATGGTTTTAAAATTTTTTACAAATAAATATCTGAAAAGTGTCATGTGCATTTGTATTCAGTCCCCTTTACTCTGCTACCCCTAACTAAAATCTAGTGGAACACATTGCCTTCAGAAGTCACCTAATTAGTAAGTAGAGTCCTCCTTTGTGTAATTTAATCTCGGTATAAGTACAGCTGTTCTGTGAAGCCCTCAGAAGTTTGTTAGAGAACATTAGTGAACAAACCGCATCAATCAGGCCAGGGATAAAGTTGTGGATAAGTTTAAAGCAGGGTTAGGTTATAAAAAAAAAAAACATCCCACGCATTGAACATTTCACAGAGCACTGTTCAATACAACATCCGAAAATGGAAAGTGTATGGCACAACTGCAAACCTACCAAGACATGGCCGTCCACCTAAAATGGCAGGCCAGGCAAGGAGAGCATTAATCAGAGAAGTAACCAAGAGGCCCATGGCAACTGTGGAGGAGCTGCAGCGATCCACAGCTCAGGTGGGAGAATCTGTCCACAGGTCAACTATTGTGCACTTAACAAATTTGTAAAAAATTTTAAACTTTAAATTTGGTAACGTTCTAGGTTTCCATGCAAATGGTCTGGCAAGGTTTGAATTTGAGATGGCGGCAATAAACTGTTGTGCATATAAATTGCTGTGATCCACAATCAACACTACAGATCTTCTGTGAAAAACTGCTCCAAAAAACTCAAGGGGAGTATTTAAATTTGCTGTTTCCATCTGAATTCCGGGTTGGGCAGTGAATGGGGGGGGGAAGTACGAGTGCTGCAGAATTTGTGGGCTGCCAGTCAGGATTTGCAAGCACATCCGGAAGGATACTAGGGCCTCTCTACCGGCCTGTGTGCAAATCCATGGTGGCTGCGGGACACTACTTGTACTCGCACCAGCTTGTACAGCACTTATGGGACTCGCCACATCTCCAAATGATATTGCAGTGTTGGTATGTATAAGACCAGGATGTTCTAGGCCGCTGGTGCTCGCCAGTTCACAAAAAGGTAGAGGGGCACTAGTACTGGCACTCTGCTGCATCTGATAATCATGTGATTGTAACATCTCGGCAACCGGGTCAGGTACGCCTGACCTTAGCAGAGACCTCTTTTCTACTTCGTCTGAGCTATCTGTCAGGATGCTACTGCTGTCTACAGGTACGTATTGTGGCAGATTCTGTCAGTGAGGCTTTCCCTTCGCTCTCATCTGACATGCTCAAAATCCTGTAGGCCTCTTCACTAGAGTACCTTTCGTTGGACATTTTTGCCACTAAATTTCTAGGTACCTAGTGCGACTCACGGGAAAAAGCACCTTGCTGTCAGGGACTGCTGTCTACTGCTGTCTACAGGTACGTATTGTGGCAGATTCTGTCAGTGAGGCTTTCCCTTCGCTCTCATCTGACATGCTCAAAATCCTGTAGGCCTCTTCACTAGAGTACCTTTCGTTGGACATTTTTGCCACTAAATTTCTAGGTACCTAGTGCGACTCACGGGAAAAAGCACCTTGCTGTCAGGGACTGCTTGAACCGCTACAAATATATTTACCTGCAAGTGCTAACAGAGATCAGGCCTGATTCTGCGAACACTGGTTTTGTATGCAATATATCAAGTGAGAGTGATCTGACACTGCACTTGCTGGGGGAGGGGAGGGGGGGGGGGGGCTAAGCATAGGGGTTAAACGCAGGTGCTGGGGCTGATCCCGCTAACGCTACGTTTTTGGGGACACTATACTAATGTGAATGCTGGTATAGTGCTGATCTGATCAGACTGATGTAGTGGTGGGCAATCTGACGCTATCTGTGAGGCATGCTAACACTACCTGAAGTCGCCGGTGACCGTAATACAGTGATCAGTTAAAAAAAATAAATAAATAAAAAAAATCTGTTCACTTTACTAATGACACTGGTGACAGGGCAGTGAAGGTTAACTGGGGGTCAATCGGGGTTGAATCTGACCTAAGTTTTTTTTATACTGTAAGTGTGCTGTTTTTTACTGATGTGGATCTGCTTTTTTAACTCTCTGGGACGGAATGTGCCCAGAGAGACAAGATTGCATAATTTCCTGTACCTGTGTAAATGTAAACCAATGGTGTAAAGGATGATGCGTGATAGGCCAGGGATCAATCGGCAGATCCAGGCCGAACATCACTGGCCTGAATCTGTTCATTGGTCGGGCACCAAATTTCTGCACCGGTGGGCGTGCGTGCCCCTGGCTCGCGATCATGGCTGGAGCGCGAATTATTTATCTGTTGTTTTGCGCAGGGAGTCCACCCTGTCGTAGTATTCCTGCTATAGGACGGACCTTAAGCAGTTAAGCAATATCTGCTAATAGGAGTTTAGCTTCCACAATGGTTTTGAACCACTGTAGGGTCACAGGCTCTTGGTGTGCCCAATGATGACATTCATCCAGGTTTGTACAGGCTTTGACTGATAAATGAAAATGAGTATTCCCTAAAGAAAAATCAAAACTCAACATCCTATGTATCTTGGAGTAATCAGAAAATTTTGGGGAGGGATGCTGTCTCCTCTGAAAATAAACCCATTGATTTTTCTGTATCATTCTGTTACGCTTATTGCTGCTTATAGGAGACTATATTGTGGGTTTCTAGTGTACCATCTAAGTAGTACTTTAAATCGCCTCACTACAATTCGCGGAGTGTCTGGTCTCCCAAGCAAATCTAGCAGCACATGTTCAATTTACTTAACCACTTGCCATCCACCCTATAGCATAAGTACTGCTACAGGGTGGCACAGCTACACAAAATTACACACGCGTGTGTGTGTATGTATGGTATGTGTGTGTATATATGTATATATAAAATATTTGCATTTCCAGCTGTTGGCGGCTGGGGATGTCAAACACTGGGTCCCAGCCGGCACGCGACGATTGTCGGCTAAGCTGACGGTCAGACCTGTGTGTACACAGGTCTCTATCCTGTCAGCTTGGACATGCTGCTTTGCGTCTCTGCACAGCAGAGAGATAAAGCAGCATGTCTCCCAAGTAAAACACGACACAGCACACTGTTAACCCTTTGATCACCCCTTCCTGCCCAGTGTCATTAGTACAGTGTCAGTGCTTTTTATTAGCACTGATCACTGTATTAAGTGTCACTGGGGATATCTGTGACAGTTCCCACCCAGTGTCAAAATGCCCACCGCAGTCCTGCTAGAAGTTGCTGATCGCCACCATTATTAGTACAATAAAAATTCCAGTATATATACTGCCATTTGTAGACGCTCTAACTTTCACGTATACCACTTAATATACATTTATTGGGATCTTTTTAGCAAAGAAATGTAGCAGAATATATTTTGGCCTAAATTTATGACTACATTTGTTTTTTTATTTTTATTGGATATGTTTTATAGCAAAAAGTAAAAATATTTTTTTTTATTCAGGATGTTTTTTTTTTTTTTTTTTTTAATCAGTTTTATAAACGAAAAATAAAACCCGCAGAGGTGATCAAATAAAAAACTGAACGCTCTTTTTGTGGGGGAAAAATGACACAAATTTCATTTATGTCCAATGTTTCAAGTCCGCGTACTTGCCAGTTAAAGAAATGCAGAGCCGTATTGCAAAAAATGGCCTGGTCAGGAAGGGGGGGGGGGGGGGGGGTAAATCCTATGACGGGCAAGTGGTTAAACGATGGAAGTATGTACTGTATATAGCTGTTATCAAATGTCAGTGAGAACAGTTTACTATATTGAATATGAAGTGACCCTCTGCAGCTATTTTATCATAGGGCACAAAGGATTATACCAATTCTTAGATGTAGTGGCTGCAGTAGTTTTCTTTTTTAGGCCTTTTTTCCCATTTTTCACCTAGTAAACCAGCCAGGAGCATATTTTCTTGTCATAGGGTATCTCCCTTCTATGGAAGAGCATCAGGGACACTGTATGACAGCAGTGTTGTCAGTCTGGGGAGAAGGTAATGTTAAGATGCACAAGCAAATTTAGATGGAGTTGACTGAATAAAAAGTGCTAATTGGAGTTGGGCTTTGATTGCTCAGTTAGAGCAACATCTTTCTTTCTTTTGGGATAGTTTTCACATAAGTGAGGTAAAAGCTGACCAATTGTAAGTACCACTATTATTGCTGAAGTGGCACTAAAGTCCCACTTTAAAAAAAACTGCGCAGGCAAGCTCTTATAGAAGAAACCTGTAATTGCCCTCAAATTGCCACTTTAAGATGCATGTTGAAAGGCAAAGAAAAATGCTTTAAAACGTGAAATAATGTGTTTGGATGGGTTTCTTTTCATTTAAATGGGAAACTTGTTGGAAGAATGTTTGACTTTTTTTTTTTTTTTTTTTTTTGTTTTTTGTATATCTGCCTGTGTAAAGCGTTGTCTTTCTTCTTTGTAGACATTTGAAGAAGCAAATCTTTGTGACACGCTCGCAAAAAATGTGGACAAAGCTGGATATGTAAAATTGACTCCTATACAGAAACACAGTATACCTATTGTCATGGCTGGTCGTGATTTAATGGCTTGTGCACAGACAGGATCTGGAAAAACGGTATTTGCTTTTTAACATGTTGCATATGGTTGGTCTCATTGAGCATTGAGCAACATGATTTAATGTGAAGTTGAGTCTTTTGTAACCAATAGAACCATTCCTTATTTTAATTTTGTTTTCTTTTAGGCGGCTTTTCTTTTGCCAATTTTGGCTCACTTGATGGTTAAAGGCGTTCAGTCTAGTGCATTCCAAACTTTAAAAGAGCCTGAAGCAATTATTGTTGCTCCTACAAGAGAACTGATTAATCAGATCTATCTAGAAGCTCGTAAATTTGCATATGGGTAGGTATCTTCATATTGGTGACTTTTGAGACCTGACTTACTATTCTCATGTGTATTTTAAACTTGGTGATTAGCAGGTTTGTTCAGTCAGAAAAGTTGTGCTAGCAAAGCTACTATAGTTTTTTGTTTTTTTTTGTGTTTTTTATTTGCAAATTGACATACACTGGAATTCATTGGCTTATGGATTATACTGCTATCTGCAGGAGGGTTGGACACTAGCTAACTAAGTTGTGGGCCATCCCAGTATAATCACTCCTGCTCTTAGCATGTGTCAGCTTTTTGCTAGTGACCAGGAGGATGGATTCCTTTTTATTTGCTCTGCTTAGAAAAGTCAACCCTCTTTCTAGTATTGTTTTTCAGTTGAGATTCTTTCACCTGTTGGAACTGGTTCCCAAGTAGCTGCTATTTGGATCAGCATATCCTCACAACAACTTTGGAGAATGCACCTGGATCCTGCTGGATTGCATGATTGCAGGGTTTTGCCACGAATGTGTCCTGTGGGCACTAAGCTCTGCTTTTGATGCTTTCCAGGCCTCAGTGTACTGGTTGGTTATCTGTGGTGTGCTTTTTGGGTCCAGCACTATGGCACAACCTCAACTGTGACCCTGTCTCTGAATACTTCTGAGTAGACTGTGGGAGTCTAACATTGTCATCTACCTACTTCCTGAGGCGGAACGGTTTCAATGGGTATTTAAAGACCATGGGTTATAAGCTTCTACCTTCAGGCGTTTGGACACTGGCACAGGATTTGAACACACCGCCTAGGCGTATTCCTGTAACCTTGCCCCAATTTGTGAGACATCTAGTGATTTGCTTGTGTGCTTAGGTATATCTATGCATAACTGGTTCTTTTTTTACTTTGAATTCTTCAATCAGCTGTTCATTGCCTTCTACTATAACAATAGAAGCAGTGCACCTGGATTGCTGTAAATTCTGTAATGCCTCAGAAACCTTGCAGCCTAGCACTTAGCAGCACCTGGGTCATTGTTTCAAATCCCATCCTTGGTACTATCTGCCTGGAGTTTGCATTTTCTCCCTGTGTCTGCATGGGTTTCTTGCAGGTACTCCGGTTTCCTTCCAAACTCCAAAATGTGCTGGTAGGTTAATTGGCCCCTGTCTAAATTGGCCCTAGTATGCGTATGCATGCGAGTTAGGGACCTTAGATTTTAAGCTCCTTGAGGGGTAGGGACCGATGTGAATGTTCTCTCTATATATATCTCTACCGGCCTCGGTCTGGGTCTCTCTCTGTCTCTCTGGGTCTGGGTCTCTCATACCCAGAGCCCCACGCTGTAGGCACAACCTGTAATGTTGCTTTTGGGACTGGATCCCTTTTAGCCTTTACCTTGGAACTGAGTGCAATGCATGTGGTTAGCTGTAAGGTGTATGGAATTTGAGGTCCACAGGTCCCACGCGTGCTTTCTGTGCTGAAGCATGCTGGGAGTCTGAAGAGTTGTGGTGTCTGCCCATCTAAGTTTTTTTTTTTTTTTTTTTTTGTCCATTTTTCCTGTAGAAAGTAAACCCCTTCAATTAATATCTGTGTTGGTCAATAAACTCCATGGAATATACTTTGAGCACAAAAATTCCATTCTTGAAGCCTTTCACGTTTTGTATAATGTCCTCGTTGTTTTTGAGACACTTGTGAATTCTCTTTTCTGTGAGAATGTTTAATTGGCACCTTCACTAGTTGATGAAATTTTAAAGGAGTAGTATAGCCAAAGCTATTTTGGCTTTACTTTCCCTATGGATCACGGAAGTGCACTTCAGTCTGCCTTTTGATCTGTTTTCAGCTAAATTCTGCTGAAATCAGAGCCGATCCAGGCTCTGGAGAGATCCCGACTCAAAGTTAGGATCCACCCGGATGCCTGGACTGGCAGCTGGCTGACCCTCTCTGAGCTGCTCCCACCCTCTCCAGTTCGGCTATTCAGTGAGCAGAAAGTGGATGACTGACAATCGCCAGCTATCTGCAGACTGATAACCAAGTGATCAGCAGTGTTTGATCACTCAGTTCTAGAGGTGGCGTGGGACAGGTGCAACTTTGGACCACAAAAAAAAGCACCCATTTGCACTCTGCCACTTTGCAGCTGTGTGAATGAGGCCTTAATTCTCTTTTATTTTATATTTTAATTCTTGAAGCTTTTGGTGATTAGAGTTCTTCACTACCCCTGTTTCCCTTCTCAGATAGTGTTTGGACTTAATAAGAATCGGGTACACCCTAAAAGCATGTCTTGAAAATTTGATTGTTTAAATAATAGTTTATGGACAGTACTTCATTGTTTTAGTTACTTTTCAGATACATGAGGTGTTTGAGTACTCTCTCTGCTGGCCGCCATGGTAAACGAGTCTCATGTTCAGTATTGGTTCACTTATGAACGAACACGAGAATTCTTTCAGGAAAGGAACGAGACAGTTAAACAGACAAGTTTTCCGAAACACACACTATTGCCCTCCGTTCTTAAGTCCAGTCCTTCCTCCCATTCTGCACTATCGCCTGCCTTTTGCTGGAACCACCCAGTGTGTCAACATTGTTCTCTTTTCCATGCCCCCTCTACAACCCTTGTTCTGCCTACACAAGCAAGAGGATAGCAGCTAGGGGTTGGAGGGCACACATCGGGTTGTGCAGGGTACATGGAGCAGATTGTACCCACACTGTGGGAACATCTGACAGGCGTAGGTAGGGGGATCTTGATATATTAAAAACGTGGCTACGATAAGCACCTTGTAAGCAGCTAACCAAAATTCTACTTTCAGTAGACTCAGAGTACTTCTGGTGTAAGTTTATGGTTGCTAAATAACCATGAATTTATAGCAGAAGGGGGAATACAACTGACCTGGCCAGCTGGAAAAGATTGTTCAGCTGTATGCCTTATATCCATGGCAGTGAAAGGTTAAAACAATAGTAAACCCCCCAAATTTTATATATTCTAGCCTATCAATCTATAGCAGTGGTTCTTAACCTTTTTGGAGGTACTGAACCCCACCAGTTTCATATGCGCATTCACCGAACCCTTCTTAATTGGAAAAATAAAATATGATTTTTAAAATTCAAAACATAGGTATATATTTATACATAGGTGCACAAAATGAACAAAACCATTAAGAACAAAGAACAAAACCATTAAAACATGATTTTCACACAAAAACAAAATAATGAATATTTACCGCAAATCAGTGTGACTTCTGCTGTTGTCTTTCAGAGGCCAGTTCAGAAATGCGCGGCATTACCTTGGCAAGTGCCACTCTCATGTCATTTTCGCAACAAAGTCTGTTCCTTTTCTTCGTCTTTATGTCCAGCATCCTCAAAGGATTGCTCGCAAAGATATGTTGTAACAAACGGTATGAAAATTCATCCCCCATAGTAATTCATCCCCCATAGTAATTCATCCCCCATATAGTAATTCATCCCCCATAGTAATTCATCCCCCCATATAGTAATTCATCCCCCCTATAGTAATTCCTTCCCCCCATATAGTAATTCATCCCCCATATGGTAATTCATCCCCCATATGGTAATTCATTCCCCATATTAAGTCCCCAAGTCCCCCCTGTGTCAATTCACTTACCTTTGCTCCGCGCGTTCCTCTCGCTGTATTCCCGCGCCGTTCCGGTCTTCAGGGCGGACTGTGAGAGGAGCCTAGCTCCTCTCACGTTCGTCACGCTGCCCCGCCTACACACATCCTGACAGCCAATCACTGGCTATCAGGATGTGAGTGGCAGCGAGACTGGCCAATCATTGCATTTGAGTCCCTGCCGCCCGAGAGGAGGGAGGGAGCGGACGCCCGGCACACAAGAGCCGCGGCTTGCCGACCACTGGGCTAAGCGATGTTGCGTGACCACCTGCAGCCAATGATGGACAAGCGGGACATGTCATCACAAATCATATGAGTCGGGTGTGGGTCACCTCCGCCGAACCCCCGAGACTGACTCACCGAACCCCTGGGGTTCGATCGAACCCAGGTTAAGAACCACTGATCTATAGTGTGTTGGCTTTTTTTTTTTTTTCAGCTGATGATTCAGCCCATATCACCTTTCCAGTTTTTGGGTGTATCTCTTCTGGATGGAGAGCAGTGGAAACACCTTTGGACAGGTGGATTGTCATTCTGAGGAGAGGGTAGTGTTAGGTGCACTAGAACATTTAGGTGGACTTGACTAACAAACTAAAACCCCACTTTTTATTAGGTTAAAGCAATGTTTTTTTTTTTTTTTTTTTTGTGGGATAGAATACATTTTTACTTTTGGGTTTAATACCACCTTCAGGCTTAGCTGCAGTACTTTCCTTGTTCTTAGATCACCATTCTTTGCCTAAGTAATTTAGAGCTCCTGTGTGTGTGTGTGTTAACAAATCCATAAGTATGAGAAATGCAAGCATCACCATGCACAAAAAAAACTTGGAACTGGATGGATTTCTATCCATCTATGGGCAGGCTGGTTGTATTGAAGTCTACTGATCGACATTAGTACAGCCAACCTGTTGGATTTTTTTCATGCGATCACTGCCAGTAGCTACAGCCGTCAGCAGTGATCAATGTGTTCTGTTGGTGGGGAAGGCTCCCATCCAGCATAAAATAGTGCTGCTGGAGGGATCCCCCATCAACACTGATTGTGTTAATGGAAATCAAGCTATTTTGTTTCCTTCTACCCATGGAAGGAAAGAGAGAAATGTATGATCTATGGTGGCTTTAGTCTTTCAAGGGGTGTTTAAAAGTACTATGGACTGGAGTTTGCTTGTAGCTTTTAATGTTTGTGGGGTTTATTTTACTCTCTTTTGGGACTTGTTTTAAGACATCAGATTACTTTGTGAACAAGGTTGAGATGTGTTCCTTGTGTAACACATCACAACATTGTATAGGATGTGTACTTGATGGGATGGGAATTTTTGCCTTGCAGATAATGGAGTGTTTATCTAAAATGCTTTATAGAGTCAGAAAAAAGGGTATCTGAGCCAGTTTTATACAGTGCCTTGAAAACGTATTCATACCCCTTGAAGTGTTCCCCATTTTTGTCACGTTACAACCAAAAACATAAATCTATTTTATTGGGATTTTGTGATAGACTGGCATATTATTGTCAAGTGGAAGGAAAATGATAAATGGTTTTCAAAATTTTTTACAAATATCTGAAAAGTGTGGCATGCATTTGTGTTCAGTCCCCTTTACTCTTGATACCCTTAGCTAAAATCTAGTGGAACCAATTGTCTTCAGAAGTCACCTAATTAGTGAATTGTCCACCTGTGTGTAATTTAATCTCAATATGAATAGTCGTTCTGTGAAGCCCTCAGAGGTTTGTTAGAAAACATTGGTGAACAAACAGCATCATGAAGGTCAAGGAACAAAATATCCCAAGCTTTGATTATCTCAGAGCACTGTGCAATCCACCATTCGAAAATGGAAAGCGTATGGCGCAACTGCAAACCTACCAAGACATGGCCGTCGACCTAAAATGACATGCTGGGCAAGAAGAGCTTTAATCCAAGAAGCGGCCAAGAGGCCCATGGTAACTGTGGAGGAGCTGCAGAGATCCACAGCTCAGGTGGTAGAATCTGTCCACAGGACAACTATTAGTCGTGCACTCCACAAATCTGGCCTTTGTGGAAGAGTGGCAAGAAGAAAGCCATTGTTGAAAGCAAGCGATAAGTCCCGTTTGTGGGAATCCATGTGGGGGGACACAGCAAATGTGGAAGAAGTGAATAAATAGTGTAACATTCATATAAAAATATATAATAACGCAATAATTAATGACCTAATCCCAACCAGTCATATATAATAAAATAAGTGATAACTCAATGGTGAGCACATTTGTTGTATAAATATACCACATTGGGTATATTTTAAGTTCACTATTTTGTGATTCACTGGTTTTTAATTTTAGATCCCAGATGGGATCAGGGCACCATTGAGTTATCACTTATTTTATTAAATATGACTGGTTAGGATTAGGTCATTAATTACTGCGTTATTATATATTTTTATATGAATGTTACACTATTCATTTCTATATATGCGCGCTACACCATTTTGTTTCTTGTTTAGTATTTATCACTTTTAGGTAATAGGTGTGGGTGTTAGCTGCCGTCACTTAGTTTATTTTGAATTATACACTTCTAAAGCGCAGAAGGTATATATTATTTAAACGTGGAAGAAGGTGCTCTAGTCAGATGACAAAAAAAATTAGCTTTCTGGCCTAAAAGCAAAACTCTGTGTGGCTGAAAACGAACACTGCACATCAGCCTGAACACACCATCCCCACCGAGAACATGATAGTGGTGGGGAATGCTTTTCTTTAGCGGGGGCAAGGAAGCTGGTCAATTGATGGAAAGATGGATGGAGCCAAATACAGGGCAAGCTTAGAAGAGAACATGTCAGTCTGCAAAATTCTTGAAACTAGGTGGAGGTTCACCTTTAGATCAAAGCATATTCATGTGTTAGAATGGCCCAGTCAAAGTCCAGACCTAAATCCAATTGACAATCTGTGGCAAGACTTGAAAATAGCTTTTGAGACACTCTCCATCCAATCTGTCAGAGCTTGAGCTATTTTGTCAAGAAGAATGGGCAAAAATGTCACTCTCTAGATGTGCAAAGCTGATAGAGACAAACCCAGAAAGGCTTGAAGCTCTAATTGCAGCGAAAAGTGGTAATACAAAGTATTGACTTAGTGAGCTGAAAAAACAAATGCATGCCAAACTTTTCAGATATTTATTTGTAAAAAATGTTAAACTATTTATCATTTTCCTTCCACTTCACAATTATGTGCCACTTTGTGTTGGTCTATCACGTAAAATCCCAATAAAATAATTTGTTTTGGTTGTAACATGACCTGTTACATGAAATATGGAAAATATCAAGGGGTATGAATATTTTTCAAGACACTGTATCTCATGCTAAATGTTTTTAGCTGAATAAAATGAATTTTTCCTATTCATAATCATTCTGCACATGACATGGTCTAAAAAAGGGTAATTCCTTTAGAGTAGAAATGGGTAGGAATCTGTAACAAACTTTGCTAAAAATCCTTGAAATGAACCCAGAGATGGAATATTTGTTTTTATAGCAAAAATGTAGAAATCAAGGCAAAGCTTTTCATTTTGGCTAGAGCAAGGGAGGGTTAGTCCCTGTCTTTTTTTTTTTTTTGCCATCCGTGTCCCATTATTTAGATTTACATTCCTGTCCTGTCCCATAGACGAAACGGTAAGTGAAAGGAAGTACCTGCAAATTAGGGGGTATGCCTTGGTGGGTCCCCAGAACTAGTGTCCCCATTGGAAGATTCCTCCTGTTTTCTGGTGATAACCCAAAATTTGGTATTTTCTTTAACTTTAAATGATCGTATACAGGACATAGAGAGTGTGAATCTCCAAAACGGGGGCACAGACAGTCATATAAAAACTAATAGCTGTTGTCGTCCATCTCACTCTATCCAAGACTAAAAAAAAAAGTGTGTTTTATTATTTTAACACAAAAATTGTGATTCTGTTGTAATGTAACATTGAATATCATACATTAAAAATAGTGTTGCTTACAGAACATGTGTGCGCCCAGTTGTGATTTATGGAGGTACGCAGATGTGGCACTCTTTAAAACAGATTTCTGAAGGATGCAACATACTTTGTGCAACCCCTGGAAGATTATTGGATGTCATCAGGAAAGAGAAGGTATTTACTACAGGGGGTTCTCCTCTGTAATTTAGTAAGCATTTAAGGCCCTGTCACATATTCACATGCATGAAAGTAAATGTCACTTTAAAAAAAAAAATTAAAACTGCCAGTAGGTATGAAATGCCATTACCTAGAAATTCTTACACTTGTATGCAACAGCTTTTTTTTTTTTTTTCCACCATCTTACAGGTGAAACTCAAAAAATTAGAATATCGTGCAAAAGTTCATTTACTTCAGTAATGCAAATTAAAAGGTGAAACTAATATATGAGAGAGACTCATTATATGCAAAGCAAGATAGTTCAAGCCGTGATTTGTCATAATTGTGATGATTATGGCTTACAGCTCATGAAAACCCCAAATCCACAATCTCAGAAAATTAGAATATTGTGAAAAGGTGCAATATTCTCGGCTCAAAGCGTCCCACTCTAATCAGCTAATTAAGCCATAACACCTGCAAAGGGGTCCTGCGCCTTTAAATGGTCTCTCAGTCTGGTTCAGTAGGAATCACAATCATAAGAAAGACTGCTGACCTGATCATAAGAAAGACTGCTGACCTGCAGACAACCATATTTGACACCCTCCATAAGGAGGGAAAGCCTCAAAAGGTAATTGCAAAAGAAGTTGGATGTTCCCAAAGTGCTGTATCAAAACACATTAAATAGAAAGTTATGTGGAAGGGAAAAGTGTGGAAGAAAAAGGTGCACAAGCAGCAGGGATGACCGCAGCTTAGAGATGTTTGTCAGGAAAAGGCCATTCAAACGTGTTGGGGACTTTCACAAGGAGTGGACTGAGGCTGAAGTCAGTGCATCAAGAGCCACCACACAGACGGATCCTGGACATGGGCTTCAAATGTCGTATTCCTTTTGTCAAGTCACTCCTGATCAACAAACAACGTCAGAAGCGTCTTACCTGGGCTAAAGAAAAACAGACCTGGTCTGTTGCTCAGTGGTCCAAAGTCCTGTATTCTGATGAGAGCAACGTTTGCATCTCATTTGGAAACCAAGGACCCAGAGTATGTATGAGGAAGAATGGAGAGGCACACACTGCAAGATGCTTGAAGTCCAGTGTGAAGTTTCCACAATCTGTGTTGATTTGGCGAGCCATGTCATCTGCTGGTGTTGGTCCACTGTGCTTCATTAAGTCCAGGGTCAACGCAGCCGTCTACCAAGTGATTTTGGAGCACTTCATGCTTCCTTCCGCAGACGAGCTTTCTAGGGATGCGGACTTCATTTTTCAGCAGGACTTGGCACCTGCCCACACTGCCAAAAGCACCAAAACCTGGTTCAATGACCGTGGGAATACTGTGCTTGATTGGCCAGCAAACTCGCCTGAACTGAACCCCATAGAGAATCTATGGGGCATTGCCAAGAGAAAGATGAGACATGGGACCGAACAATGCAGAACAGCTGAAGGTCGCTATTGAAGCATCCTGGTCTTCCATAACACCTCAGCAGTGCCACAGGCTGATAGCTTCCATGCCACGCCGCATTGAGACAGTAATTGCTGCAAAAGGGGCCCAAATAAAGTACTGAGTACATATGCATGCTTATACTTTTTAGAGGTCCGATATTGTTCTATGTACAATCCTTGTTTTATTGATTGCATGTAATCTAATTTTCTGAGATTGCGGAGTTGGGGTTTTCATGAGCTGTAAGCCATAATCATCACAATTATGACAAATCACGGCTTGAACTATCTTGCTTTGCATGTAATGAGTCTCTCATATATTAGTTTCACCTTTTAAGTTGCATTACTGAAATAAATTTAACTTTTGCACAATATTCTATTTTTTTGAGTTTCACCTGTATGTCTGAGTGCTAGGTTGTCGTGATCATACAAAGCTGACACTTCTCGCTAGTAATGTGACTTGTCTGCCGCTTCCCACTCACCCTGTTGGCCACTGATGATGAAGTCTATAATAGTAATGGATCAGTAGAAATTATTCTTGTATGGAGGGAGCATCGAAAACTGCTGCAGGAATATATGCATGCACCTCTCAATAGTATATCACAGGGCATAGTAGAGTTATTTTTTTTAATTTGAGTTGCGCTGTTGAATCCCGTTTACTGTCAATAGCAAAGTTTGACACCTGCCCACCATAACCTCTTCTCTCAGTATTGCCTCAGTTTTTGCTATTGTCAATAGGTGAGTGACAGGTCTCTTTGCTCAGAGTGCTCATTCTTTTTGGTTGCGTAGGTATGTGCTTGATCAATTTTTCTCTGCTGAGTCTTGGTGCTCTATAGCAGACTTCCAGATAAGTCCCTACGGATACAAATATTCCATAGGAGACAGTCCCAGACCTCAGTGAAAGAATGATGGATGGCTTTTAAACAGAATTGGCACTGGATCCTGCATGCGTCCCTTATTTTGGCAGAATGTTCCATCTGTGAGTTAGAAAGTGGGGTGCTTAACAGGTTCAGGCCTTTGGGAATGAGACTCTTCAACAGCAAACCAAAGACCATATTATATTGGAGGTGCCAAGGAAAAATACGTGAATCTAAAATGTCATACGCAGGGAGGATTTTATTTAAATTAAGTTGATTTAAATCACTAGTGAAAAGGCTCGATTTAAGTCATTTTTAAAGAGCAACTGTCATCTGTCTTGCAGCGGCTCCTCCTCTGACCCGCTGTTGACTCACTGACAGTCCCATTCACTTTGATGGGATGGATGGTGTAATTGAGATGCTGGGAGCAATAACTAAAAAGTCCTATACATGGGCACAATCAACATGTAGTCATGCAGGCACCTTTTAATCAGCTTTTAAACCATTACAAAAAGACCATCTATCAAATGAACACCTGCCCTGGCACATCATACCATTCACCCAGCAGTCCAAGAAATAATCCAACTGCAATATACTTGCACTGTCAAAACCTCCACTTTTATTATCACACAACACACAGGAGTATATATCTTATAGTCATCACAATCTGCATATTAACACACACCAGTAAGAGTGTGAGCATTACAGCATGAAATAGACATATCATTTGACAGCGTCACAGCATAAAATTAGTACATTACCAAAGCTATGTTAGAAGCTGGGAGGAACAAATCCCATTGGAACCAAACTACCCAGGGGATCAGTGGGGATGCCGTATGTGTAACCAGTCGATAAGCCCATATATCCTTGGCAAAAATCCCAGCGTCAGAGCGTCCTCTGGCCACTAAGGGTAGGATGGGGGTCTTCTACTGGTCTCGCCCGGACCTTTGCCTTATAAACCAATTTTCTGGAAGCTGTCCAATAGTGGGTGGCTCCACACCCACCACAGTAGGAGCTTGCAGAAGGGTTCTGCTAGGTTAAGTCACGTTCATCCACCATATTCGTTATCTGAAAAGTCATACTTTTTTGCTTTTTCTCTACCCCAAAACCTTGTCTCAACTCCCCCAGACTTAAGGATTTCTAACTTAAATAGGTTTTTATCTCCTAATGTGAGGTTACTAAATGTCATAAAACCTGTTTCATTCCATAAACAAGTTTTTATCTTGCTCTCAGCAGAATATCTTGTGACTTTGTTCCTTTGACCTAGAGAAATGACACATAAGTCACCTCTCATGCCCCTGGCATTTGGGCAACAATGCTTTATTGTAAAAATAACAAGAAACAAAGGGTCCAAGGCAAACACATTTCATAGGCATTACAGCTGGTGATGCAGCAGTGACACAACAAGCTGAGGGACGTGGGGGCAGCAGGTGAGTGGATGCCCAATAACAGGCACTGCCATGATAGATCTAAAATGACAGGTGCTCTTTAAATGTAAGGAATCCAACTCATTCTTGCTGGTAGTTAGAATCTTTAATATTTGCAAACCAAATGAAGGTTTCCTTTTTAGAATAAAAAGCTGTCAGGTTAGTAAAACAGCGATATCCGAACTGATTTTAGGTTAATCACAAATAGCTAGAGAACTTCTCCAATTTTATTTCATGTTTTTTTTTTTTTTTTTTAATGGATACTGTGAAATTGTGTGAATGCATCAATGCAGTGCGTGTTATTTCAGCTTGCAGAGCTTGGATTCATTGAGTTTTACCAAAAATGTAAATATTGAAGAATATACAGTCTCATGCTACATAACTAAGCTCCATTTCATGCTGAATAAACTAATGTATCTTAAATAGAAAACTATCTTTAGATAGATTTTTACTCCAAAAACATTTTTAGTTTTGATTTTTAAAAAAATCCAATTTAAATTTAAAAACTTTTTTTTTTTTTTACTTATCCACCCTTGTCATACAGGAGATGCGGTATTCACCAAATGTATGTTTGTGTATGACATATCTTGTGTTTTTTTTTTTTTTTTTTCTTTCTTAGTTGCCAACTTTTCTAATTTATTGCTTGGGGATGTCCCAGGGTCTATGAATATTTTACATACTGTACCTTTAGGATGAGAGGAATTTTGGCTTACCGGTAACTTGCATATTGTGGTGTGGAGGACACAGACCACCCTCCCTTCCTTTCCTTGGTTTCTCTGCAGTGATTAATACAAAACTGAGCACTTCTTGAGTGGGGTAACGTTATGGATGTGCCCAGTGGGTGTGTCTTCAATAACTTGTGTCTAGTCATGTGAAAGTACAAGCATATGATCCATTGTTTAGGAGTACTTTACTTGCGTCTGGTACTATACTGCTAAAAAATGGAATTTACAAATTTACAGGTAAGCCAAACTTTTTTTTTTTTTTTTTTTTTTTTTTTTACGCCATCTGTGTCCCCTAGGGGAGATTTCCCTTCAGAAACAGTTGCGTTATACTGATTTCAGCAGTAGGCTGGGACAATGGCAAACAGAAAATTTAAGTCAGCCCCCTTATATCCTCCCCTCTATCCAGCATCTCCTTTCTGCGTTTAAATGTGTATCTTACCAGGTCACCCGTTAGACTTTTGGCTTCTACTCCTGGTAGGAGCATACATTTGGGAGTGGTACCCCACACAGTCGCTTTTCCCTCTCAGGTGAGTTCACTATGGTACTGGGTACTCCTTGGCTCTACCCCTCCTGTTATACAAAGTCAATAGTATCTTGTGAGTTTCACTGCAGTGCATGACCACACACATTCCTTGCATTCTTTCCAAAGTGGTTCTAGTTTTTTTTTTTTTTTTTTTTTTTTAATGGAGCTTTTGAGTTTTATACATACAGTGAGGAACAGAAGTATTTGAACACCCTGCGATTTTGCAAGTTCTCCCACTTAGAAATCATGGAGGGGTCTGAAATTCACTTTGTAGGTGCATTCCCACTCTAAGAGACAGAATTTAAAAAAAAATTCAGGAAATCACATTGTATGATTTTTAAAGAATTTATTTGTCTTGCACTGCTGAACATAAGTATTTGAACACCTGAGAAAATCAGTGTTAATATTTGGTACGGAAGCTTTTGTTTGCATTTAGAGAGATCAAACATTTCCTGTAGTTCTTGACCAGGTTTGCACACACTGCAACAGGGATTTTTGCCCACTGCTCCACACAGATCTCCTCTAGATCTGTCAGGTTTCGGGGCTGTCGCTGAGCAACACGGAGTTTCAGCTCCCTCCAAAGATTTTCTATTGGATTTAGGTCTGGAGACTGGCTAGGCCACTCCAGAACCTTGATATGCTTCTTACGGAGCCGCTCCTTGGTTATCTTGGCTGTGTGCTTTGGGTCGTCATGTTGGAAGACCCAGCCACGACCCATCTTCAATGCTCTGACTGAGGGAAAGAGGTTGTTGCTCAAAATCTCACAATAAATGGCCCCATTCATCCTCTCCTTAATACAGTGCAGTTGTCCTGTCCCCTTTGCAGAAAAGCACCCCCAAAGCATGATGTTACCACCCCCATGCTTCACAGTAGGGATGGTGTTCTTGGTATGCAACTCATCCTTTTTCCTCCAAACACGACGAGTGAAGTTTAGACCAAAACGTTCTACTTTGGTCTCATCTGACCACATGACTTTCTCCCATGCCTCCTCTGGATCATCCAGATGGTCATTGGCAAACTTCAGACGGGCCTGGACATGTGATGACTTGAGCAGGGGAACCTTCCGTGCAATGCATGATTTGAAACCAAGACGCGTAGTGTACTACCGACAGTGACCTTTGAAACTGTGGTCCCAGCTCTCCATGTCATTGACCAGCTCCTCCCTTGTAGTTCTGGGCTGATTCCTCACCTTTCTTATCAGTGATTCCCCATGACGTGAGATCTTGCATGGAGCCCCAGTCCGAGGGAGACTGACGGTCGTCTTTAGCCTCTTCCATTTTCTAACAATTGCTCTAACAGTTGATCTATTTTCACCAAGCTGCTTGGCAATTGCCCCGTAGCCCTTTCCAGCCTTGTGGAGGTCCACAGTTTTGTCCACCTACCCACAGTTCATCCAGAGCAGTGGTCTCCACACTGACCCAAGGGCCAGATGCCTTTTTCTAGCCTTTATCCGGCCCTTAGGGCACTATTCCAGCAATGACACCAAAAGTGGGGCACAATTCCCCCAACTGATACTAGCAATGGGACACTAATCTTCCCACTAACATCAATGATTGGCAATATTCCTTCCAGTGATGGCAATCATGGGGCATTACTCCTATTACTGACCACAGGCACTATGCAACTGAACACCACAGCTCAGACCTTTTTTACTCACTTATGTTGGGCCTGAGACTTTTTCTACCTCTGCTGGCCACAATCCGGCTACCCTAAAGTCTGAAGGACAGTAAACTGACCCTTTGGAGAGTTTGGAGACCCCTGATCCAGAGGAAGGCAGTTGCCCCATTGTTGGTATCGGGGAAAGGAATAGTGCTCCATTATTGGTGTCAGTGGAAGGTATCGTGCCCCATTAGTGTCATTGCAGGGATTTTGCTCTGCTGCTGGTATCAGTGTGGAAGTATAGTGCCCCAAGGGCTGGATAAGGGCAAGCAAAGGGCCACATCTGGTCCAGTTTGACTACTGGACTAGATGTCAAGTTTTAAAAAAAAACAAACATATCCTATTTTACTTGTTACGCAATGTTCTGTTACTAAAGCTAATAGCTTTAAACAACCCCTAAGATTTTATATAGTGTGTACTTCTGGTTTTAGCTTTTTGACATGAACTTTGTGCTATTAATCTTTCTTTTTTATCCCTACAAAGATTGGTTTAACTAAATTACTCTACCTTGTGTTGGATGAAGCTGACCGTATGTTGGACATGGGTTTTAGAGAGGACATTGAGAATTTGCTACAAAATCCAGGAATGCCTCCTAAACAAAACAGACAAACATTAATGTTCAGTGCTACATTTCCCGCAAACATACAGAGGTAAAAAAAATTAATGTGTTCAAATTAATATTTTGTGCCTGCATTGTTCAATTTGTTTTTCTTCTGTCACTTAACCACTTGCCCTCTGGAGGATTTACCCCCCCCCCCCTTCCTTACTAGGCCATCTTTTGCGTTGCGTTACTTTGACAATTGCGCGGTCATGCAACGCTGCACCCAAATGAAATTTACGTCCTTTTTTTCCCCCACAAATAGAACTTTCTTTTGGTGGTACTTGATCACCTGCGCTTTTTTTTTTTTTCTTTTTTGCGCTATAAAAATGGACCAAGTTTGAGGGGAAAATGTATTACTTTTTGCTTTTAAACATGTCCAGTAAAAAAAAATTTAGAAAATCTAATTTCGTCATAAATTTAGGCCAAAATGTATTCTGCTACATGTCTGCTAAAAAAAATAATTTTTACTAGTAATTGCGGCAATCAGTGACTTATAGCGGGACTGCGGCGGGCATTCTGACACTGGCGGGAACTGACTTGGTGTCACTGACATCACCAGGGCTACCAGTACAGTCATCAGTGCTATTAAAAAGCAATGTACTAAAGCCACTGGGCAGGAAGTGGTTAACTGTGCTGTGTGCCGTTTTTATATTGCCTACGTTGAAGTGCACACACAGGATACAGTTGCAAGAAAAAGTATGTGAACCCCTTGGGATTACGTGGAGTTTTGCATGAATTGGGCATAAAATGTGCTCTGAACGTCATCTAAGTCACAACAATAGAAGAACACAGTCTGCTGAACATAATACCCCACAAACATTAGATGTTGCCATGGTTTAATTGCACATAACATGTAAACATTCACAGTGCAGGGAGGAAAAAGTATGTGAACCTTTGGACTTAATAACTGGTTGACCCTCCTTTGGCAGAAATAACCTCAACCAAACGTTTCCTGTAGTTGCAGATCAGACCTGCACAACAATCTGGAGTAATTTTGGACCACTCGTCTTCACAAAACTGTTTCAGTGTAGCAATATTCTTGGGATGTCTGGTGTGAATCGCTCTCTTAAGGTCATGCCACAGCATTTCAATCGGGTTGAGGTCAGGACTCTGACTGGGCCACTCCAGAAGGCGTATTCTGTGCTGTTGCAGCCATTGTTTTGTTGAATTACTTGTATGCTTTGGGTCACTGTCCTGTTGCATCATCCATCCTCTGCAGAGCTTCAGTTGGCGGACAGATGGTCGTACGTTTTTCCTGCAAAATGTCTTGATACACTCTGGAATTTTCCCATCAATGACAACAATCCGTCCAGGCCCTGAGGCAGCATAGCAGCCCCAAACCATGATGCTCCCTCCGCCATGTTTTACAGTGGGGATGAGGTTTTGATGTTGGTGCGCTGTGCCTTTATTTTTCTCCACACAGTGTTGTGTGTTCTTCCCAAACAACTCAATCTTGGTTTCATCTGTCCACAGTATATTTTGCCAGTAATGCTGTGGAACATCCAGGTGCTCTTTTGCAAACTTCAAACGTGCTGCAATATTCTTTTTGGACAGCAATGGCTTCCTCCGTGGTGTCCTCCCATGTACTCCATTCTTGTTTAATGTTTTCCTTATTGTAGATGTGTCAAAAATGTTAGCATGTGCCAGAGATCTCTGTAGGTCTTTAGCTGACACTCTGGGATTCTTCTTTACCTCATGCAGCATTCTGCGCTGTGCTTTTGCAGTCATTTTTACAGGACGACCACGCCTAGGGAGAGTAGCAACAGTGCTAAACTTTCTCCATTTGTAGACAGTCTGTCTTACCGTGGACACATGAACACCAAGGCTTTTGGAGATACTTTTGTAACCCTTTCCAGCTTCATGCAAGTCAACAATTCTTGATCGTAGGCCTTCTGAGAGCTCTTTTCTGCGAGGCATGGTTCACATCAGACAGTGCTTGAAACCAGTAAACCCAAAACAGGTGTGTGTTTTTTAAGGGCAGGACAGCTGTCAGCAACACATCCAATATCATCACACTGATTGGAGTCAAGGTTGGCTCACTCCTGGCTCCAATTAGCTCTGGGAGAAGTCATTAAGCTAGAGCCTCACATACTTTTTCCTTCCTGCACTGTGAATCTTTACATGTTTTGTGCATTTAAAACCATGGCAACATCTAATGTTTGTGTAGTATTATGTTCAGCAGACTGTGTTCTATTATTGCGACTTAGATGACGTTCAGAGCACATTTTATGCCCAATTCATGCAAAACTCCACGTAATCCCAATGGGTTCACATACTTTTTCTTGCAACTGTACACACTGCTTTGCATGGCTTCTCTGTAGGCACCTGATCCAATTGGACAATGCCACCACCGTGACCTTTGTCAGCTACCAGGGTTTCACAAGTAGTTTAACATCGGTGCAGGAGGACTCGTGTAGTTTTCTGCCTATGCTGGGGAACCCTGGACGTGGATTTGGTGTCTTACCTCAAGTTTGTTCCACATCTGCTGTGGAGGTTAGGGCCCAGAGGGATTACAGTCATTCTGGTGGCTTCAGACTGGTCTAGTCGACCGTGGTATGGCTTATCGCGGACATTTCTTTGCGGCTGCCCCTTCACAAGGAGGAACTCCTGTCCCAAGAACTAGTATAACTGGAAAAACGTCCAAAAAACTGGGTAAAATCACGTTTTAAAACGTCATCCGCGCTCCTGAGGTTTTCGCGGGCGGGGCGCTTCCGATAGTGTTAGCGTCAGCGCCCCTCCCAGATAGCGTCAGATTGCCTGCTAGTACACCAGTAATCCCATTTAACCCCTTGATTGCCAGGAACACGCTCATTTGCACGCTAAACCTCCATTGCTAGTATAGTGTCTGATTGGATCAATATCTTTGATCAGATCAGCACTATACCAGCGTTCACATTACTATAGTGTCCCCTAAAACGCAGCGTTAGCAGGATTAGCCCCGACACCTGAGAGCACCTGTGTTTAGCCTCTACGTCTCCCCTTCTCCCCCAGCAAGTGCAGTGTCAGTAGATAACTGTCACTTGATACATTACACACAAAACCGCAGTGTTCACAGAATCAGGCCTGATCTCTGTTAGCACTTGTCTGTAAATTTTTTGTAGCAGTTCAAGCAGTCCCTGACAGCCAGGTGCTCTTTCCCGTGAGTCGCACTAGGTACCTAGAAATTTAGTGGCCAAAATGTCCAAGCAAAGGTACTCTAGTGAAGAGGCTTACAGGATTCTGAGCATGTCAGGTGAGAGCGAAGGGGAAGACTCACTGACAGAATCCGCCTCAGAATACGAACCCGTAGACAGCAGTGGCACCCTGACAGCTCAGACGGAGAAGAGGTCCCTGCTAAGATCAGGCATACCCGACCCCATTTCCAGGTTGCTGAGGTGGTACAAACACATGATGACTCTCATATGCAGCAGAGTGCCGCGCTACCTTTTGGTGAACTGGCGAGCACCAGCGGTTTAGTACGTCCTGGTCTTATACATACCAGCACTGCAGTATCACTTGGTGACGTGGCGAGTCCCATAAGTGCAGTACAAGCTGGTGCGGTGGCGAGCACAAGTAGTGTCCTGCGGCCACCAAGAATTTGCACACAGGCCCGTAGAGCCCCTAGTATCTTTCCGTATGTGCTTGCAAATCCCGATTGACAGCCCACAAATTCTGCAGTATTCGTACTTCCCCCATTCACTGCCCAACCCGAAGTTAAGGTGGAAACAGCAAATTTAACTACTCCCCTTGATTTTTTTTTTTTTTTTTTTTTAGCTGTTTTTCACAGGTGATCTTTATGCATTGATTGTTGTGCATATAAATTGCTTTGATCCACGATTTATCGCCGCCAACCCAAATTCAAACCTTGCCAGACCATTCACATGGAGACCCATTACGGTTTCCGAATTTAAAGTTTTTTTGGCCTAACCCTCAACATGGGCATTAATAAAAAAAAAAAAAAAAATGAATTGCGGTTGTATTGGTTCACAGACCCGCTTCTTCACATGTCCGTGTTCTCTGCTGCCATGGCCAGGCATAGATATGAGACAATATTGCGTTTTATGCACTTCAACGACAACACACTGTCATCCTCAGGAGTGACCCTGAATTTGACCAGCTCCGCAAAATTCGGCCCCTTGTAAATCACTTCAACCAAAAATTTGAAGATGTATATACTCCCCATCAAAACATCTGCATCGATGAGTCCCTCATTAATTTTTCTGTCCGCCTTGCATTCAAACAGTATATCCCCAGCAAGTGTGCCAGATATGGAGTCAAGGTGTATAAGACCTGTGAGAGGGCAACAGGCTATACATGTAAGTTTCAGATTTACGGGGAAAAGATAGTCATGTGGAGCCCCCCGGATGCCCAGACTACATGGGGAGCAATGGCAAGATAGTTTGGGACTTGGCGTCATCCTTTTTCCATATGGGGTACCACTTAAACGTGGACAATTTTTATTCAAGCGTGCCACTGTTTAAACATTTGTTCAATTTTGGAATTTTCGCATGTGGCACTGTGCGACCTAATCACCGGGGCTTACCCCAATGGCTTGTAAATACCCATCTTAGGGGGAAAAAGCCTGCTTGAGAAATGAGGAATTGCTTGCAGTGAAGTGGAAGGACAAACTGAATGTTTTCGTCCTGTCTTCCATTCGCGCAGATATGACCATCCATATTGCCACGGCAGCTGGTGTTGTTGAGAAGCCCCTCTGTGTCCACTACTATAACCTTAACATGGGAGGGGTGGACTTCAACGACCAGATGATGAAGCCGTACTTAATTTCCCGAAAAGCCAGACGCTGGTACAAAAGAGTGTCTTTATTTATTTCAATTGGCTATATATATAATGCTTTTGTTCTTTAAAAAGCAACTGGACATAGTGGATCCTATCTAAAATTCCAGTTAGAGATCATCAGGGCCCTTTTGTAACCAGAAGGTGCTATGCCCCAAACCCCCAACCCAGATGCAGTTAGCTGGCTGCATGAGAGGCATTTTCCTGATGCCATTCCTGGTACCCCAACCCAAAGAAGTCCCCAAAAAAGATGTCTGTAGTAGACATGGAATTAGGCATGACAGCCACTTTTGTTGTCCCTCCTGTTCTGACCAACCTGGCCTCTGCGTGAAGAACTGCTTCCGCCTCTACCATACACTAGTGGACTATTAGTATAGGGTACAGCATGGCACAGTTCAGGGCACATTTACACAGGGTCTCGAAAGATGTCAGGTAGTCAGGAAACTGGCTATCGCATTTGGAGAGACCCTACCATCTGTTTTTAACATGTTAAACTTTGAAAAAAAAAAAGAAGCTAAAAAAAAATAAAGTACAAATCCCCAAAAAATTAAACATTTTAAAAAAGTTTTTTTTTTTTGCTGTCATTTTTGTTCTACTTTTACTGTTTGTTTTTTTTTTTGTACTGTTGTTAACCTTTGCTGTTTGCAGGAATGCTTTCAGCTGCAGCACTGACCTGTTTATTCTGACAGCAACAGGGTCTTGCTCTCAGAATATAATATTAAAATCTTTTTTTTTTTTTTTTTTTTTTAAATTGCATTTGAAAAATCGTGTGAGTACTATGTGAGATAAATAAATTGCAGCACCCACCATTTTATTCACTAGGGTGTCTGCTCTATAAAAAAATATGTTTGGGGGTTCAAATTATTTCCTAGCAAAAAATTGTTTTTTGGTTTTTGTGTTTTGGTTTTTTCTTTAATGTAAACAAAGTGTGTCAGAAAAGGCTTGGTCTTCAGGTGGTTAGAAGAGTGAGTGATGTGTGGCATAAACTTCTAATGCTGGGCATAAAATGCCCCCACCCCCCAAAATGTCAACTTTTTGGAAAGTATACATCCCAAATTATGTGCTGAGAGGCATGTTGAATCAATAGAAGAATTTATTTTTTTTTTACCACAAATTTTTGGAAAATGACAAATTTTTACACAAAATTCTCATTTAAATAATTTATTGCTCACACATGCCTTAGGTTTATGTGGAATTGCTCCCCAAAATAAATTCTGCTACTTCTTCTGAGTATAGGGGTACCACATGAGAGATGTTTTGGCAGTCGAGCCAAGCACAGACCCCAAAATCCAATAAGCACCTTCAGGCTTTTAAAGGGCTTTATTTCCTCATTACACTTCCTGACTATCACAGTTTCGGAGGCCCTGGAATGCCAGAATAGCACCAACACCCCCCCCCCCCCCCCCCCCCCCCCCCCCAGAATTTTTTTTTTCGTGGTTTTTTTGTTTATAGCGCAAAGAATAAAAAGCGCACAGATGATTAAATACCACCAAAAGAAAGCTCTATTTGTGTGAAAAGACATAAATTTTGTTTGGGTACAGCATTGCATAACCCCGCAATTATCAGTTTAAGTAGTGCAGCGCCAAACCGCAAAAAAAAACCAATCAAGTTATCTTTTTTCATCCTATTAAGAATTTTGAATATCACTGCAAAGTGACTAATGTACAGCCCTGACCCAAAATTTTGAGAATGCCACAAGTTTACTTTGACAGTCTGCTGCTTCAGTGTCCTTAAATATTTGTCAGATGTTTCTATGGTATACTGAAGTATATAATTACAAGCATTTCAAAAGTGTCATAGGCTTTTAACAATTACATTACGTTTTATTCAAATATTCAATATTTGCAGTGTTGACCTTTTCTGCAATTCGCCCTGCCATGCTGTCAATCAACTTCTGGGCCACATCCTAACTGATGGTAGCCCATTCTTGCATAATCAGTGCTGGGAGTTTGTCAGAATGTGTGTGTGGGGGGAGGGGGTTTAGGGAGCCGTTCACCCACCTACTGAGTATCGAACACAAGTACTCAATGGGATTAAAGTTTAGGGAGTTTTCTGGCCATGGGCCCAAAATTTTGATGTTTTACTCCCCAAGCCACTTAGTTATCACTTATGACAAGGTGCTCTATCATGATGGAAAAGGCATTGTTCGTCACCAAACTTCTTGGATGGTTGGGAGAAGTTGCTCGCGGAGGATGTTTTTGTACCATTCTTTATTCATAGCTGTGTTCTTAGGCAGAGTTGTGAGTGAGCCCACTCCCTTGGCTGAGAAGCAACCCCACACATGAATGGTCTCAGGATGCTTTACTGTTGGCATGACACAGGACTTGATGGTAGCACTTCCTTTCTTCTCCAGAAAAGGTTTTTTTTTTCCGGATGCTTCAAACAATTGGAAAGGGGATTCATCAGAGAAAATGACTTTTCCCCCATTCCTCAGCAGTCCAATCCCTGTACCCTTTGCTGAATATCCGTCCCTGATGTTTTTTCCTGGAGAGAAGTGGCTTCTTTGCTGCCCATCTTGATACCAGGCCATCCTTCAAAAGTCTTTGCCTCACCGTGCGTGCAGATGCACTCACACCTTCCTGGGCTGCTGCCATTCCTGAGCAAGCTGTGCACTGGTGTTTCCCTGATCCCGCAGCCATATCAATTTCAGAAGACCGTTCTGACACTTTCTGGACTTTCTTGGGCACCTTGAAACCTTCTTCACAACAATTGAGCCTCTCCTTTGAAGTTCTTGATGGTCCGATTAAATGAATTAGGTGCCATATCCTTACCTTTTGAATCCCTTTTTGTGCAAAGCAATGATTGCACTTGTTTCCTTTCAGGTAAATTGTATAATTTTCAAAACTTTTGGCCAGGGCTGTATGGACACTTTTGGCAATATTTGCAGAGCCAGAGAACTGTGCGGGAACTATATTTCGTGGTGCTTTCCTCCCCTCAATATAGGCTGTTATATGAAACTATGCTATAGGCGGTTAAGAAATCATCACTGGCTCACCATTCATCAGATTGTGCTTTATCTTCATGGATGAATTTGCTTGTGTGCACGTACCTGTACATTTTCTTATTTAACTACAAACTGCCGTATGCCTACTGCTGTATTTCATGTTCTATTTACAGGTAAAATAGTGTTTCATCCCATTTTATATCAAACTATACCTTTTGGCAGACTCGCTTCTAGGAAAGGGTTGCCATATTTGGGTGTTTTGGAATCTGAACAGTTTTTGGTTAATCTCAACATGGAAACCGGTCATGCAGCTACTATGATAGCAGTAGCCATCTATATTTCTCTTACATTCATTGACCGACACAACTCCTTAATCTTCACCATAGTTATAGTGCCACCTTCAGGAGTGGGACACTAGGCAGCGAAACACAGCACAACCTATGGGCTGTCCTATCTGGTAATAAACACCTCTCTGCTATAGGCAGCTCAATTTTTTCTGCCTAGTGTCAGAAGGACCTAGTTCCCTGCTGGGACCTTTGGTTCCATACGTCTTTTTTTTTTTTTTTTTTTCTCTGCAGACAGCCTAGCTGGGTGACGGGCTGGATAATCTAGATAATCTGGCCAGCGGATGTTTGCAGACGTTAATTTTGCGCTGCCTCGGCCATGACAAGCACGTCGGAGTTCGTGTCAGTGTTTTGCCCTGACTGACAGGAGGTTCTGTCTCAGGAGCATTACCCACCACCTTGGCTAGACTGATAAGTTGATGTCCCTGTTTCCTCGGAGGCATTGGTGGTCTGCTGGTACTCCCTGGGGTAGATGGTCCTGCAGGGTTCCCTTTTCCCCTCCTGGCTTGAGTTTTATAGCACTTTGCAAACTTTGGATTACAAATACAGCACTCTGTGAATAATTGTCTAGTGACACTTGGCCAAGTAGATTACTCTGAAGTATAATGATAAAACCCATTTCTTATGTGGGTGTATGTTTGTATGCAGGTTCTTGAAATCTTTATGCTACTTTTTACGGAGATATGTTTGATTACCCTAGTAGATTTATAATTCAACACCATCTTTGGTTTGGGTGGGACTTAATTGCTTCTAGGTGTTCACACGTGGCTTCATAAATCGTGATTTCTATTGTGTCAGTGTAGCTTTTTCTTTGTTTGCAGGGTGTATATAATTTTTGTGCTCACCTGTAATAGTCACGTGAAGTTAAGGTTCTTTTTGGTTTGTAATACTTTTGTTACCCAGCAGCTGCAGGTTTAGAGGTCGGTGGTGTCTCCATTGATTTTTGTTTTGTCTTTTTTTTTATTCTCAAACAAGCCTTGCCAGAGAAATTTTGAAGCCAGATTACTTGTTTGTTGCGGTTGGCCAAGTTGGTGGTGCCTGCAGTGATGTGGAACAGCTGATCATCGAAGTTGAAGAATTTGGGAAGAAAGACAAATTGATGGAAATCCTACAGGAGATAGGTAGAAATAACATCAGTAGTTAAGGTTTTTTTTTTTTTTATCCGAAGAATTGCCTATATGATTTCTAATGTGCAGTGTATGTTATCAAAGTGGAATCTCCGCCAAACATAAAACAAAAAGTGCAAGCTGTCTCCACTCTTAAAACATGCAAACAATTTGGCTGAAGATTTCCCTAAGGAATTTTTAGCCTTGATGCAACTATCATAAAGATAATATTTTAACTACTCCTCTTTCCCTTATGAGCTCTAGAATGTCTTAACCAGTGTCATACAAAACCAGTCCATATGTGTCAGGTCTTTGTAAGGAGTCCATGTTTTGTATTGCAATCTTCTTTCTTTGTGTTTACATTAATTCGTTTAGGTAGTGAACGCACAATGGTGTTTGTGAAAACGAAGAAGAAAGCCGATTTCATTGCTATGTGTCTCTGTCAGGAAAAAGTCCCATCAACCAGCATTCATGGGTAAGGGTACTTCATGTTGAGGGTTTTTCTAGGATACTATTACATAAACTTTAGGCCCCTTGCACGCAGGAACGTCTAGTTGCAGTATGTCCTTCCTGGTATTTTGGCTTGCCTAGGAGGGACAGGTGCTGCCTGCAGTGGGACTGACATTGCACCTGTCCCTCCCAGGCAAGCTAAAACACCGGGAGGATGGAAAAAAAAAAACTATGCATCTAGAACTATAGGATTTTTTTATTCTTATGTTGACTAGAATAAGGGAGGGTTATAAACCCTCTGGGGTTTTTTTTCATCTTTGTACCATTGGGGAGATTGCACTGTGCAGGAATTTGTGGTGAATCCTTAGTTTTCACCTGGGTAATCAGAACTAGTGTCTCCATTGGAAAATTTAACCTATTCCTGTTCTGGACACAACCCAAAATTGAGGGGTTTTTTTTTCTTTTGCACATTGACTTTGGATAAGGCCTCATGCACACTGCTGCTTCTAAATGTGAGTTTAGGAGCTTTGGGCATTTTTTTTTTTTTTGCCGAAGCCGCTGAAGTCAACTCAATAAAAGCCTACGTGTTCGTGTACACGTAGGCTTTTACCAAAGTTTAGGAGCAGCAGAGGTAAACGTTCCTCTTCTGAATGCAGAATAACCGCGTTCAGGAGAGGAAGTTTTGGCCACTAAACGTGGTTAAAGCCGCTCTAGCCGCATTTAGCGCTTGAGCATTTATTCATGTCATTTGGAAATATTTTGGACAAACGAATAAACATCTGAGCGCTAAATGCGGGTATCTCGTTTACACACGGTTTTGCCAGGAGAATTTAACGACTATGTGAGTTCATGTGTACATGAGGCCTAACAGTAAATGTGACAGGAGAGGGTACCTCTCCCTAATGGTTGCCCAAACCACAATAAAAACCTGACTTTTATTTCTGCTTCACTCACTTCTGTCCAAAGCAAACATGTTTTGCCTTTAGTTATACTTGGATATCTCATGCACACTTTCAAACTGATTGCCTTGCTTGATTTTTTGACTCTTTAAAAATATGTATGTGAAGCAAAGCAGCTTCTATTTTTTAATTTTCTTTAAGAAATATTTAAACATATTTTCTTTATTTCCAGTGACCGAGAACAAAGGGAGCGAGAGACAGCCCTAAGGGAGTTTAGAACAGGACAGTGTCCCATAATTGTAGCCACATCTGTTGCTGCCAGGGGACTGGATATTGAAAATGTTAGTTATGTCATCAATTTTGATATCCCAGATGATATAGATGAATATGTTCACAGAATTGGACGTACTGGACGCTGTGGCAATACAGGAAAAGCAATCTCATTCTTTGATAAAAGAGGTGACGACGAACAAAGAATTGCTCGTTCACTTGTAAAAGTTTTGTCTGATGTAAGTTCTTAACTGATTTTTACTAACATAAGGGCAGAAGAAGCTAGTAAAATTTTACCTTGTTTGACAGTCTTAAGCCAGCCATAGATGATGCAGTTTTCTTTCCTGCAACCTGTAATGATGCTATATGCTGTGACAGCCATTTCCGTACATAATTTGGTATCAGCAAACACTGAAATTGAGCTCTTGATTCTAAACGATATATCATTATCCACTTTACACCGACTTAACACAAATATGCAGCCTCACAGGACTGGGCTTTTTTCCGTGGTGCCGCATATTTTTCGTACCTGTCTTCCTGCTGGGAGCACGCTCCAAGCACAAAGACCGGGGTGTCACTGAGAGCCCCGGGTTCGGTTCTAACAACCCGGGACTCCCGATTCCGGGTCACATGATAGCTGTGATAGCCTCTGGTTGGTTATCACAGTGATAAGTCTCTGTGAAGCCGCCTCCCTTGTTTTTTTTTTTCTCTCTCTGAATGGAGGAGAGATTCATTGTATCTCTCCTTGCAGAAAGAAAACAAACTTTGTAAAAAAGATATAAAAAAATAAATACCTAGATCAAGTTTTGATTAAGTTTAATGCCAGGATTAGTATTTTGGGTCAGGGTCAAAGGTCAGGATTTTTTTTTTTTTTTTTTTAAATTGGTGTCAGTTTGTGTTGGGTAAAAAAACAAAATGCGCACTATTGTTTCTGTGCTGTAGTACAGGTACAAGCAACAAATTACACACATTTATGGTATTGCTGCAATCATCAATAGCAGGAGAATTTTATTTTGGGTTGTTCTTTGGTAGTAGATTATGGTAAAAAGAAACACAGCTAAATTAAAAATAAAAAAATGTTTGGGTCAGTTTTCCTTTTGATAATAAAAAAAATAATCAGGAGATATCTATTGCCAATTACCACCAAAAACGAAAGCCCAATTTGTCCTGAAAAAAACAAGGTATAATTCACCAGGATGTACAAAGTAGTTTTTGGTAATATGTACGGTTTTACTAACACATGTCAAAGTTGTAAAATTTTACTTGGGCTCTAAGATTTGTTTTACCCTTAGGCGTGAAGGGGATAACAAACCAAACCACATTGACCCCCAAGACAGAACCTTGGGGCACACCATTCACAACTTTAGACCATTCAGTGAATGAGTCCTTTATCACTTTTCTTTGTACCCATTTATGTGACCATTTCCATGTGAAACAAAGAGAACTCCATTGGAACCTTTTTCAGCATTCATTGCTGATGGAGTGGTAATAGTGTACACTCTTTATTGATCAATAATCCTCTTAGCGATTTCCTAAATGGTGTGTTTTACGGTTGCACAGGCACATCAAGAAGTACCTGCTTGGCTTGAAGAGGTTGCCTTCAGTGCCCATGGGACGCCTGCCTATAATCCACGATCAAATAAGTTTGCATCCACAGATGACAGAAAGGTAAAGAGGGAAAATATGGTTCTGAAGTCTAGGCCCTAACATGAACTAACACTTTGCCTGCTAACATAGTTACCACTTCATGAGGAAAATTAGTGTTGCGACACAAAGCTGGTATTTTTCTACAGTATAAAAGGGATTCAAGTGGCTAGAAAGCCATTTTGGAGTTTTTAACTTTAGCTAGTTTGGTAAAGTTAGCATCCATGCACACTGCAATAAAAATTCTGCTTATACAGACATTTACCTTTTTTTATAATTTATTTTTTTTTATATTCTATTTGTGGAGGAGCATTTTTGGGCTAGGGGAAAAACCTATCAAAAGTACGTGTTTTTGAGAGGAGCTTTCAGGCAGCAAAATCTTTAACCCTCACCAGCATGCTATTTTGGACCGCTGTGCATTTTCAAGTGTACATTGAAAAATGAGCAGAGGGGAATGTTTAGGGGGAAAAAATCGCCTTATAAAAGCAAATGCCCATAAATGTGCAATATCTGCCACTATGGGCATTTTTTATGCTCTCCCCCCCCCCCCCCCCCCCCCCCCAGAGTGACAGTGTTAATTTTAACTAAACCCCAGGATATTCTATATTTTTTTTAAAGCAGCCCAGTAGCATAAAGAGATGATAGTTACAATTTATGTCACTTGATATATGCGCAACTGTTTATCAAATGTGCATTTTCTGGAAAAAGTATAATGAATTTTAGTGCAAAGAGACACAATATAATACCCATTTTTTTGTTAAAATTATAAAGCTTTAAAAAAAATGGCTACTGCTTCGAAGCTGCTATATATTGCATTTTTAGTTTTGGATTGAATTATGTTTTTATGCTTTTAAGTGCAATGCTGCCATTGCAGAGTACCTTAAAATCCTAATTGCATGTCTGTCATGCTGACTATTTAACCATTTTTATTAAAATCACTGACCTTGAACAAGTTTGCACTGGCATCCCTAAGGTGCCCTGTGGTTTATAGAATATTGAGGCCAAAGGGTGATCATGGTAACCAGGAAACTCATTTTCAGAAAGAGGGCTGCTGCAACAGCCTGTATTTCCATTTTGTTCATTGGGGGACACAAAAGTTTTTCACCGTTATGATTATACTGCCACCTACAGAAGGATTGGACACTAACAAAAGAAACTAGGCTATCCCGAGATAACCCTCCTCCTACCAGTATGCCCAAAGCTAGCATACACTAATCAAAATTTGGCCATTTCAGCACAGAATGGCCAAATTCTAAATGGTGTGCAGCAGTCCCTGCTCCACAGAAGTCTATTGTTTGATCAACTGCTGTTGAAGGGACATGATGGAAAAAATTTCAGCCAGCAGCTGTGGCCACTGATCAGTGTATTTTGACAGCGGATCCCACTGCTGTCAGAATACAATGTGATTGCATGGGGGATTGCTCCATGCATCTTATTTGTGTGCATGGCCAACTCTAGATTTTTGCTAGTGTTTAGGAGGGTGGATTCCTTTTCTGCAGAGCCAAACCTATTTTTCACGAGCACATTTTTTTTTTTTCTCATCATTCAATACTCTTCCCTACGTTGCTGGTAGTGCTTGGTCTCCTTGATTGTCTAGCATAGCCATCCTCAGCCTGGCTTTGGGAATGCCACATCCAAACCATTATAGACTGAACATTGTGGGTAGCCGGGAAGTGACCTTCAGGCACGCTGTTCTGCGTACGTTGCTTTCCAGCCTTTTTTCTTGTATACATTATTCACAAATCACATTTCAGATTCAGAGCTGCTAGGATTGCCTCAGCACTTGCTTTGTCTCTGAGGACTCACTTTGTGAGTATTCTGGTTGGGCCAAGCACCAAAAACTACCTCATTGACCATGAAAGGGACCATTGGGTGGAGTGGTACTTCAGTTTTCAGTTTATTCTTGCTGACTGCCTAAAGTAACTTTTGTACACCTTTTTCTTGCCTCATACCTTTTTAGCTTTATATAGCCTTACTGTTCTGTTGCCACAACATGTCCTCTTCTAGTCTTAAGGTAGGCATTCGTGCTGTAATTTCTTCTCTCCCCCCCCCCCCCCCCCCCCCCACCCCACCCCACCCCACCCCCCCCAAAGCTCACACTCTAATAAAGGTTCAGGTGCCTTCTTACCGATGTAGCTGCTGCTTGTAGCCCAGAGTCATGTTGCCCTCTGATCCAAGAGTCTCCCTAGCATGCTCCCAGACCTTCCCCTGCTAATTCTTTTGCTTTGGTTGTGTCTGAGCAGTAACTCTTCAGGGGCAAGCTTATCAGTCAAAATCACAGGTTAACAACTGCTTTGGCTCATACTGATATGGCGCACACTACTCTGAAATTAAAGGATCAGCCTGTTGCTTTTACCAGTGGGGTTTCCAGACTTTGGTCTTTTAAAGCTCCAAAGTTCACCAAGGCACCTGCTTATTTTACTCTTTCATGAATATTTGAAAACACCATGATAAACTGTTTGTTTCCCCAAAGTGCTTATTAGCCTTGGCTTTTGTAATGGTGTCCCCTCCCCACTGGGAATCCCCTTTGAACAAACTATCATACCGGTGGAGGACGTAACTGTTTTTAACCACTTGCTGCCTGGGACACTTTAATTTTCACACTACAATTTGCATTTTTTCTTCTAAAAAATTTCTTAGAACCTGCGAACATACATTTTCAGTAAGCAGAGGCCCTGGAGAATAAAATGGTGGGTACAATACCCAATTTTTGGTAAAATATAAAAAGATTGTTGAGTCAAGTGAATAGATACCAAACATGTCAAGACTTTCACTGTAAAATGGCAACAAAGTGAATTTTTATTCTCACTCTGAGGTTGGCAGCAGTAACTTACAAGTGTGGTGCTGTTGTAATTTCTATACACATGTGGGACCTACTCCACGTTTGTGTTTGGGAAAAATGCTTTTAAATTTAAAAAATTTAAACCATTTTTTAAAGAAAAAATGTCTTTACCACCTCCCCACCAACCCCCCTTATTTTGGTTGGGGGGGGGGGGGGGGGGGGTTATTTTTGTTTTTCTTATAACTTTTTGCCGTCACAAAGGTGCCAACAAGCACCCTATGTGATAGATTTGGGCAGATGACGAGTACTGTTTATGGTGACATCAATGATCTTTTAGAACCCGAATGTCTCCACTGCAGCTAATCAAGCACAGATTGTTGGCCTTTCTAACTACACTAAAAGTGATCGGGTGGACGAAGAGCTTCCCTGGTCACTTTTACTAAACGTCTGATAGCTGGCTGTAAAAAGATACCAGGCACATGGCTTCAGCTTTAGCCATGTCCTTGTTAACCACTTAAACCCAGAACGTTTTGATGTGTTCAGTGGACAGGAAGTGGTTAAGACCTCACAAATAAGCCATTTGTAGTCTTGTTCGTCACCCTGCCTTGGCTGTGATAAATTATCTGACTATAGTTGACTGGTCAAAATGGCTGAGGTGAATCCTTTGCTTATAGAATGGGTACAGCAAAAAGCTGTAGCTTTAAATTTCTGTTGGAGCTAGAGGTCTTCAATCTCATCTCGCACATGGGTCTTCTGTTCATACATAAGGACTTTGAATAAAGTACTGGACTGCAGAATCTGCAAGTAAGCATTTTTTTCTGTATGGCCTTTGATGGACCAGCTCTCACTGCCTTTTAAGGATGTTGTTTGTGACAAGAGCACCCGTCTTTCTCATCAGATGAAGTCTAAGGCATGGACTGGAAGGATCCATCCCTTGCTGTTAAGAGTCTGTTTTGTTTTAACACTTCATCTTCCAACATTCATTTGCAGACCATCCAAGCTAGGTTTCCAGTATGCCCACAAGATCTGGGGTTCACAGTATATCAAATACTTTGCAAGCCTATCTTCTATATGAAGGTGCACCCCTACTCCACAGTGCGAAGGGGATGTTTCCTAAACTTTTGTGGACACGCACAGCTGGCATCCCAGTTACTTGGGCTTGTGAGGTGATTTTGAGGGGCCACAAGTGAGCGTTTTTATTCCAAGATTTTTTTCCTCAGTTTATCTCTAATCCTCCTCCACCTAATGGATAAGCCAATCTACAAGCTGTTCCTATGGCAGGATGGTTTCAGCAGGTTCACTCGCATCTATTTACAGTTTTCAAAGGTTGCATCCACCACATCTTGGATCTTATAGCAATAACTTTTTCAGTCAGCCTCATACATTCTGCTTTGAATCTGAGGTCTGTCATTGCCCCTCTTTACCAGGGAGATTTTCTGACTTCTGTGAACATCAGGGAAGTGTATCTTCATGTTCCTTTTTGGTGCATCAGGTTTCCGTCTATTTGCTGTACTTTGTCTCAAGTTATGTTGGGCATCTGTTAATGTAATTTCTATGATAGAAGCTAGAAAGTAGGGGTGAGCTCAGGCCTGTTCGAATACTAGTCCGAACCCACCTGAGCTATCCCACCAGGAAGTTGTCACTGCAGACCCCTAATGATCAGCAGCCAAGGCATTCCTGAAGCTACATGCACTCAAGGGACATATATACTTGCAGCTGTGGGGCAGGGAATGCCTTGGCCAATTATGATTGGTGGTCTGCAGTGATGATTTCCTGGTGGGATAGCTCAAGTGTGTTTGAACTTATATCCAAACACACATCATCTCATCCTTGTTAGGTAGTCCTGTACTTTCATGGTCAATCATCGGACATAGGAGATTCTCTGGTAGATGCATCCTCTCCTTCCTACCAGCTGGTCTGGACCAGTGTTTTGGTTATAAGCACTTTCAGAGGTCAGGCTTCTGCTTGTTGCGGTCTTGTTTTAGAAACAATTGGCCCTCTCATTCCTTGAGTAAGACCTTTTGTAGAGAGTCTCCTGTGCAACTTCCCTGTGACTCCATGGGATCTGAATCTGTTACCTTACTTTAAAAAAAACTGCAGTTTAAACCCATTAGACACCTTTTAACCCCACTCCTCTGCAAGGGGGGTGTCTGAACTAGTGGCCTTATTATGTAAGGAACCCTTTCTAGCATTACCATTGGGTGAGATAATGTTGAGGCCATAGCTGCCTAATTATCTAAAGTAGTCCTTGCTTTTCCTCATAACCAGAACATCATTCTTT